AGTCCACTCTCACATACTATACCACTTCACAGATAGTACAGATACCTTATAACAGTTATATACACCAAATACAATTCCTTCCTTCCATCACTTATAACATTCCTGCCATTCACTTCACTTATCCATATGCTCTGATTACCTACCACATTGCTGTTATTACTTTGAACAGTGATTGCTTAGATCACTTAAAATAATAAAAAATATTATTTTACCTTCATGTATTCCTTCTCCTATGCTCTTCCTTTTTTTTTTAAATAGAGATCTGATTTTCTGACCTATATAATTTTTCTTCTCTTTGGAGAACTTAAAAAAGAATTCTTGCAAGGTAGGTTTACTGGCAACAAATTCCCTCAGTTTTTGCTTCTTTTGATGAAGTCTTAATTTTTCCTTAACTTTTGAAGGATTGTTTTTCCTGGATACAGATTTTCACGTGGGTATTTTTTCTTTCATCACTTTAAATATTTTACACCACTCTCTTCTTGCTTATGTGGTTTCTGATGAGAAATCCAATGTAATTATTATCAGTTCTTATCTTTGTTACGCTATTGGTAAAGTGTTTGGCTGTTTTCAAGATTTTCTCCTGGTCTTTGGTTTTCTGTGTTTGAACATGATAATGCTTAGGTGTTTTTTGTTTTGTTTTGGTATTTATCGTACTTGGTGTTCTTTGCTTGGAACCTGGATCTGTTGTCTGGTGTCTGTCATTAATTTTGAAAAATTCTCAGCCATTCTTATTCAATTATTTCTTCTGTTTCTTTCTTCTTCTGGTATTCCTAATAATGTGTATGTCATACCTTTTTAAATTGTCCAATAGTTCTTGGATATTCTGTTACACTTTTTTAGTCCCTTTTTTTGTCTTTACATTTCAGTTTGGGAAGTTTCTATTGACATATCTTCAAGCTTACTGATTCTTTCCTTTGCTGCATCCAGTCTACTGGTAAGTCTATCAAAGGCATCATTTCTGTTATAGTGTTTTTGATTTCTAGCATCTCCTTCTGGTTCTTTCTTAGTTTCTATCTGTTTACATTATCCATCTGTTCCTGCATATTGAATACTATTTCTAGTATACTCTTTAACATATTAATTATAGTTATTTTAAATTCCATATATACAATCATTTCAAAACCTGTTTTGTATCTGAGTTTGGTTCTGATGCTTGTCACCTCTTGAGACTGGTTTTTCTTTTAGCATGCCTTAACTTTTTTTTTGTTGAAAACCAGACGTGATGTATAACATAATAGAAACTGAGGTAAATAAGCCATTAGTGTGAGGTTTTATGTTAATCTAGTCAAAGGCTGGGCTGTGTTTATGTTTATTCTAGTTGTAGGTATTAGAGGTTTTTAAAAATTTCCTCTAATATCCTTGTTTTTGTCTCCCATGTTTTCTTCGGGTTTCCCTAAAAACTTCTTAAATAGAATCTGAGCCTTGAAGGGCTTTCAGCTGTAATCCACAGTTACTATACTGAAGCCCTGTTCATGTGGTAGTAAGGTGTGGGGTATGGGGAAACATTCTGCAATCCTATAATTCTCAGTCTGTTAATATGTCTGTACCCCCAGCCTGTAACCTTCACAAGTGTTTCACAGCTTTTATTCTCTCTCTCTCTCTTAGATGAGACAGTAAGGCTAGAGGAGACTGGAGTTGGATAATTTCCATTCTCCCACACTAGAGAAGGCTTTGGTAAAGTTGTTTTACTTGCTGGATAGCTCTTTAGGTAGAAGCTCTGTATGTATTTCAAAATGATTACTTTTGCCTTCGCCATACCAAGAACAGGAGACTTTTTCTTGACTCTTCACATTGAGAACATAGTGGAGCTCCTGGAGGCATTGTGGCCATCACGAGTTTGCTACTCAAACACTACTCTATACTCTGCCTCCTGCAATTTGTCAAAGTTACTGCTTAAGTGTTCCTACCAGTTTACGGCTCCAGTGCTTTCTGCTCCTGATAAGCAGATTTGGGCTGTGATTCTCTATAATTGCCTGTCTCTCCAGACTTCAGGATTGCAGTTTGCTCTGTGACTTCCAATCTCTGATGGGTCCAAGAAAAGTCACTGATTTTTAGTTTGTTCAGCTGTTCTTCTTATTGTATGACAGAAGTGATGACTTCAAGCACTTTACATGTTGGCTGAAACCAGAAGTCTGCAACAAACTGTTTTCATTCAACATTATGTTTGTGAGTTTCACTCACATTGATACCTGTAGTTCTATTTCATTCATTTTCTCTTCTGTATAGTATTCTATGAATATATTATGCTTTATCCATTCTCCTGCTTATGAATATGCATGTTGTTTATAAACAATGCTGTAATGAACATCCTTATAACATCTCCTAATGTTCATGTGTAAGAGTTTCTCTAGGATAGATACCTAGAAGTGGGATTACTGACTTATAGTGTATGAGCATCTTCCATTTTACTAGATATGTCACAAAGTTCTAGTAGTTGTACTTTTTATATCCACCCAGTAGTATATTATAGTTTATTAAGAGTTCTTGTTGTTCCATATGTTCACCAATACTGGGCATTGTCAAGCCTTGAAATGTATGCCAACAGCCTGGGTATTAAATGATATCTCATTGTAGTTTCATTTTCCATTTCTTTGACTACTAATGAGACTTTATAAGTTAATTCGCCATTCATGTTTCCTCTCCTGTGAATTGCCTGTTCATATCTTCTGGCCATTTTTATTGGGTTATTTATGTTTTTCTTATAGATTGTAGGAAAATTTCCTTAAAATGACTCAAAAGGCACAAACCATCAAATAAGATGATTTAATTGCATTAAAATGAAAGACTTCTGCATATCAAAAGACATCAGAAACAATGTTAAAAATATAAGCCACCCACTGGGTGCAGCAAGGGTTTGTATCCAGAATCTAAAAATAAAATTTATAAATAATATGAAAAACTAAACAAGCAAATAATGGGCAAAGAAACAGAACAGGCAATTCACAGAAGGTTCCTGAAAGGCTAATAAATGTATGAATACATGCATAACTTCACTGGAAATCAGGAACTTGCAAATTAAAACAATGAGATACCTTTCAAACACATTAGACTGGTACAAATAAAAAGCAAAATACTACAAAGTCTGGCAAAGATGTGAAAGAGATTTCTGAAACTCTGCTTGCTCATGGAGGTGAAGATATACATACCCTATATCACAGTAATTCCACTCCTATGTATGTAATCTAAAACAGTGATTCTTAATAATGTCACTCTCAGACCAGCAGCATCACCAGCATCACCTGGCAACTTGTTGGAAGTACAAATTCTCAGGCCCTACTCTAGATATACTACTTAAAACATTCTGGGGGTGGAGCCCAGCAATCTGTGTTTTAACAAGCATTCCTGGTGATTCTGGTGCACACTAACATTTGAGAATCATTGCAATAGAGCAATATTTTTCCAGCTTTTTTGACTGAGATCTATAGGAAGAAATGCATTTTATATTCTGTCCCACACACATATCACACACACACATAAAACAAATCTTCAAGAAACAGTAATTATCCTTACTACTGTATGGAATGCACTTTGATATTTTCTATTCTATTTCATTTCTTTAAGAAGAATTGCTGGTTATGACCTACTAACAGTAATCTAAAGTTTGAAAAACTGTCCTAGAGAAACTCTTGTACATGTGCAACAGGAGATATGTACAATAATGTTTGCTGCAGAACTGTCTGTAATGATAAAAAATAAAAAGAAACAATCTTCAGGAGAATGGATAAATGAATTATAGTAAATATCTACAATAAATATTACTTAGTTCCTTACATCATTAGAAATAAATTCCAAAAACATGTATATTGAGTCAAAAAAGCAAGTTTCAGAAGGATATACAGAGTATAATATCATCTATATAGTTTAAAAATATGTAAAACTATATGTTGTTTATGAATATATTGATATATAGTAAATATATAAAAACATGCATGGGAATGATAAATAGCAAATTCAGTACAGTGGTTACCTCTGGAAAGGAGAAAGGGGAATAGGACTGGTGAGGGATATGGGAAAGTCTTCAGGTGTTTCTATAAGGCTTTATTATTTTTTTAAATTAAGCAAATATGGAAACTGTTAAGAACTGATAAATATGGCTGGCTGGGTACAAAGGTGCCTGCTGTATTTTTCTCTGTAAGTTTTTATAATTAGTAATATTTCATAACAAAAAATAAATAAAAATCAAGCTACCCTTGAACAGCAAGAATATATTAGAAATGCAATCACTCAAAGGAAACTGCTTTAATACCCTTCATTTGCAATGCCTTTTTAAAAATTCAGGGACAGCCAGACGCTAACATTATTTTTTTGGTTTTGTTTTTCAAATTAGACACAACCAAGTAGATGCTCCAGGGGCTTGTGTTGCTTCTTTGGGTGACATAATGAAATTTTCAATTCTGGATGTAATTATGTAAAAAATATCACATATATTGTGAATGTGAAGTAATGATCTGATCAACAAAACAAGGATTATTTACAATTTTACTTAGATATTTGCCAATTTCTCAAGGCTTACAGGCCCTGTGCTTTCACTTTACTGCTTAGCTACCAGCAACATGTGTCATGTCATGTGAAAGCCAGGTGGAGCATTCTGAAGAGAAGACTCATGTGGTAACAGTAAACCTTACAACCAGGCACCATGGCTACCAGATATGGTGGTCCTAGGAATACGATTTGATTTACTACTAGCCTAGGAAATTATAGGTTACTTTTCCTTCAATGGAGGGTTTCTAGTAGGTATGGACTAGAATTTGATCAAGATTTCTTTAAAATTCTAAGGGTAGTTTAGGAACTTAGAAAACCACAAAGAATATCATAGGAAATATGCTACTTATATAGTCAGAGCTACTTATATAGCAGAGAATTCAAGGTCAAGGAAAAACACAATCACTGTGACTATATCATGATTCTTTGGTATAATCAAAGCTAATTTAAAAGTATTACTTTAGGTAGAGGAAAATAGAAATGAAAACAACCCATTTTTTTCTTGGTTTGGCCTATACCTTGTTTGGCTCCCCTGGATTATATGAAGAAAACATAGGAATTTTTCGGATCTCTTCCTCTGACAAACGATTTCTCTGGATCTCATCTTCTGGGACAAATTCTATTGGCTGCGTCAGCTTCTTAGGCCCAGTCCAACACTGCTCAGGTGAATTATCAATAACTTTTGCCACATGGAGACTGGGACCTTTACCCTGTGCTGCCTGTTTTCCCTTGTCCTGGAGTAATGACGGGTTCTCAGCTGTGCCACTATCTCCCACTGACGTAGCTGAGACCAGTGAGTGGGAAGCAAAGGGTTCACCTCTCATTAGTTGGAACTCTTCAAGACGTTTTTTCATTATCATCTCTTGGTAAAAACTTTCCAGGTTGTTCATGGGATCACCTTTGTTCTTCTTTTGGGGTTCATCTGGATCAAGACAAAGAGATAGGGAAGTTCTACAAAGCCTACCAATACAACTTTTGACAAATTAATAAAAATTAAATCTTGGATCTCAGATATAGAAACTCTGCTGAGACAGGTGTTTACAACCTGTGAAAAATGACAATAATATATAGCTATGTTATTACAGCACATTTTAGGCAAGGCTAGGACTATGATGAGGCAAGTGAGGAACCTGTGGTACAAAATTTAAGGAGGTGCTCACTCTCAGGGTCATGCAAGTACATGCACCTAAGTGATAAAGACATTTGAAAACTGTAACTAGTATGGCATTATCACACTTCACAAAATTAATGACAATTCCTTAGTATTATCTACAACTGAGTTCACATTCAAATGGCCCTGGTATTCTCAAAGATAAATATTTTTTCACTTGATTCAGGATCTAAACCGGCCATTGGTTTAAACCTCTTTTTTTTTTAACAGTTCTCCTTCTTTCCAACGCCTCCAACCCATTGTCCCCCATCCCAATGATTTATTAGAGAAACCATATCATTTGTTCTATGAACAAATGGATTTGACTCGTTGTTCCTCATGATATTATTTAACTTGTTCCTCAATCCCCTCTATTTCTTACAAATTGGCAGGTAAATGTAGAGCTAGGCTATCATGTGGCCACTGGCCACATGAGCTGATTTAAATTAATTTTTAAATGCCAGTTCCTCAGTTAAACTAGGAAAGTGGTTAGTGGTACCATATTGGGCAGAATAGATAAAGACCACTTACACCATTGTAGAAAGTTGCATTGGACAGTGCTGATACAGAGGCTTGATCAGATTCGTATTTAGTATTTTTAGGCAAGAATCCTCCATATATAGGTGTATACTTCCTATTACATCATATTATAAGGCATATAATGTTTGGTGGTTCCATTTTTAGTGATGCTGAACTTGATCAGTGGATTAAGGTGGTATTAGTCTGATCCTGCCATTATGTCTTATTCACATTTCACCTAGTGGGCTTTACATTCATTGATGACCATTGCCTAAATCCATTAATTTATTAAGAACTGTAAAACAAAGCTTCCCTTATTCTATTATTTATTTTGTGCTTATTATTTCTTTTGTATTTATTATCTGGAATTCTATAATGGACTTACCATCATCAACTATTTGGTTTACCTATATACAGTTTATACAGGAAAGGCAGGATAAATGCTTGATTTTTTTAACCATTATTTATCACCTATGATCGTAATGAGTTGGTACTTTAACAGTGTCCAATGATTATTTTTAGTATAATTGTGAGACATGTATTTTCATATATTTGATGTGTTTCAATTAAATGTAGTCATTATTACTTTTATTGGTCAAATTATCCCACTGAGGATCAGTGAAAGTCCCCTCAAATTGGCTCCTGTATTGCTTAATAGTTTTCTGGCACAGCAAGACGTTTCAAGTTCATCTTGCATATTTCCTAACTTAAACCCGGAATATTTCTCTAAGGACTCATGGTTCCTGTTAGTGGGAAATAATGTTTAGAAACCATAATGTGTTGCTAGATGTGTTCACAAATGTTGAGTTGTTGCTTCTAGGGCTTTTCAGTGGACAAACCTAAGAAAATTTTTATGAGAAAAATGAATCATAAATTAACACTAGTATTTCCACTTCATATGTAAGATTATAAGATTTTTTTACTCAAACTCCTTTATTTTAAACTTATATCTCTTTTCACATATGCTTAAGATATTGGTTCCTAATGATATTAACAAAATTATTTATTAGCTTTTTCATACAATATATAGAATTTTTAAATGTCAATAACAATACTAATCTATCAAGAATAAAACTACTAAATATAGTTTTATATTTCTTTGCAGTTACTTTTGCCCTTAAAATATATTCCATTAGGAATATACAAATATTGTTTTAAAGTCACTTTAAATAATTGTTTTCTCTGTACACTTATGTTACCAACTTTATTCATATTTAGGTTGATTCATTTCAGGCTGTTTATAAATTTTAGGGATTGATTTTTTTCCTTTTTGATTAATTTTTAAATCATACAAAACATTTACATGGGTCTAAAGTGTCAACTCTTGTATACAGTACCTTCATAGAAGTCTCACTTCCATCTCTATCCCATTCATTCCATTCCTTTCCTTCCCCATAAATAGTAATTTTTATTAGGTTTTGGCTTTATGGTTCCACTGTTTCTTTTTTGAAATATAAGCAAATAGGCACAAACACACATGTATAAAATTCATTACATCCATCTCCTACATAAATGGTAACTTACTATAAACACTGTTCTACAACTTACTTTTTTGCACTTTACAATATATCTTGGTGATAACTCCATATTAATGTATAGAGCTCTTCTCTTTCCTTCTTACAGCTGCATAGTACTCCATTGTGTGGATGTATAATAGTTTTTTCAAGACTACTCCCCTACTGATGCACCCTGGCATTGTTTCTAATCTTTTTTGCTATTGTGAATAATGACCTGACAAACAGCCTTGTGAATACAGGATTTTGTATTTTTCAAGTATATCTTTGAAATAGATTCCAAGAAGTGGCATTGCTGAGATAAAGGGCAAATGTGTATGTAATTTTTCTATATATTGTTAAATTCCACTCTGTAGGAATTGTAATATTCCACATTTCCATCAGCAAGGTATAAGAATATTTATGAAAGGATTTCTTAAGAGTCAAAAGGCATTAGCCATTAAGGAATATATTGACAAATTCAACTACATTAAAATTAAAAGCTTCATCAAAAATATCATAAAGAGAAAAGTTTCAGAATTGGTAAAGATATTTGCTGTACAACTGATAAATAACATAATCATTAGGAAAATGGACAAAAGATTGAAAAAGTGCCTCACAGAAGAGGAAATACGTTGGCTAATAAATATATGCAAACATATACTCAGTATTAGAATGCAGGGAAATGCTAATTAAGAAGGGAATGCCATATTGGCAAAAAATATAAAAGAATACCAATACCACAGGTCAGTGAGACTGTAGATCAAATGAAGTCCTCATATATTGCTGCCAAGAATGTGCAGCCACAAGACAAATCACTATTACATCTATTAATGCAAAAAACATGTTCATAACATGACCCATCAATTCCACTCCAACATATATACCCTAAAGAAATTTGGGCATGTGTGCACCAGGATACTATAATAAGAAAACTTAGATCAGTGCTATTTATAATAGACTGAAACTAGGAAAATATTAATGTCCATCTAAGAAAAATCAATTATAAAATTGTAGTAAGTTTATATAATGAAATACTATACTCCAATGAAAGTGAACAAATTTCAGCTATGTATGGCCAAGTAGGTGAATACACTAATGTATATACTCAAAAATATTTATTCAGTGACTGTTATGATCCCAGGTACTATTCTAGGTTCTGGGGATACATCAATGAATGAAAGAAACATCCCTATCTATATAGAACTAAGTGAATTATATGGTATACTAGAAGGTTATCAGTGCTATTAAAAAGAAAAAAATACAGAAGCTAAAGGGTAATTGGGAGGGCTAGGAGGTGGTAGTAGTCCTGGTTGCAATTTTAATGTTGGTCCGGGTAGGTCTCACTGAGAAGGTGACATTTGAGAGAAGACTTACAGAAAGTGAGGTAATCTAACACCCTGATATTGGAGTGAGGGCCCCAAGGAGGCAGTATGTTTCAAAAAATTGTTAAAGTTTGAAATCATACAAAATATTTCTCTGACTGCATAGAATCATATTAGAGATCCACTACTGGAAGAAATCTGGGAAAATCCAAATATTTGGAAATTAAACAACACACTTCTAAATAATCCACAGGTCAAAGAACTTCCAAAGGAAATTTTAGAATAATTTGAACTAAATGAAAATGAAAGTATAACATAACATTTATGGATACAGATAAAACAATGCTCAGAGCTTTAAACACTTGTATCAGAAAAGAAGAATGGTTTCAAATCTATAACCTGAGCTTCCAACTTAGGAAACTAGAAAAAGAGCAAACAAAACACAAAGCGAGGAGAAGAAAGAAAATAATATAGATTAGGGAATAAATCAGTGCAATAGAAAACAGAAAAAATGGGGAAAATCAATAAAACCAAAAGCCAGTTCTTTGAAAAGGTTAACAAAATGGCAAACCCTTAGCTAGACCAACCAAGAAAATATGGGAGAAGACAAAAATGACTAAAATCAGGAATTAAAGAGGAGGCATCATTACTGACCCTATAGAAATGGAAACAATTAAAAGGGAATATTATATATAACTTTACGCCAACAAATTAGAAAGCTTAGATGAATGTACAAATTCATAGGAAGATATAGATTACCAAAGCAGTCTCAAGAAGAAAGAGAACAGACGAAAAACCTATAATAAGTAAAGAGACTGAATTAGGAACCAACACACTACCCACAAAGTCCAGGTCCAGATGGCTTCATTGCTGAATTCTATCAAATATTAAAGAGATAATATCCATCCTGCATAAACACTTTCAGAAAATAAAGGAGGGAATATTTTCCAACTTATTCTATGATGTCATTATTATACTGAAGCCAAAGCTAAAGAAAGGCATTACAAGCAAAGAAGACCACAGACCAATATCCCTTATGAACAGACATAAAAATCCTTAACAAAATATTAGCAAGACTAATCTAGCAACATATACAAATGATTATGATTATATACTTGTAAGTGGATTTATCCTAGGAATGAAAGATTGGTTTAACATCTAAAAATCAATTTATAAGGACATCATATTAACAGATTAAAACTTTAAACCACATGATCACTACAGTAGGTACAGAAAAAGCAGTAAACAAAATTCAACACCCATTAGTGACTTTTTAAAAATCCTCAAATAACTAGGAATAGGAGGGAACTTCCTCAACTTGCATGGGGTCAGGTGAATAATGACACCCCAAAGAGGTCTTACATCCTAACCCCTGGAATCTGTGAAAATGTTACATGGCAAAAGGACTCAACAGATGTGATTAAGTTACTAATCA